CCCCTCCGCACCACTATTTATTGCCAATAAATAGTGGTGGGCGAGGGGCGGGGGAGCCAGCAATTTAACAAAGGGTTCGGTGCTTTTTTTTTTTTTTGTAATTTTATTGGCCCACGGAGCTTCAGCATAGGCTAATTGGCCTCCCGGCTCTCCGCTGATTTGTCTCAGCTGTTTTGCTCAGGGCTCTTCTGCTTTCTTGCAAAGAGTGCTGATTTTTTTTCCCCTAGCTTTGCTGAGAAACGAAACTGAAACTGCTTTGCTGTTGCTGCAAGGTTGGAAAATTAGGCAGGCAGAATTCTTTTCTTTTTCCTCACCAAAAAAGGTAGGTGAAAACGATGGGAAATTTAGGGAAAAAGAGGAGAGTTCAGGATTTTAAAACACAAAAGAAAAAAAGCTAGAGAATTGTAATAATTGAGATACTATTAATTGTATATTTCTGAAAGCAGAAATGGTTAAGTTGTGGTTTGGAGGAATATATGGGGGAAATTATTTGGTTTATTATTATTGGTAAATATAATTAATTGATTTGTAAGAAATTGGATTGCATGGAAATAATTGGAATATTCATGTTCATATTGATTAATATACAAAAAAGGTAGTTATATAACTAATTGATTTATATTAAAATGTTGAATTTATATTAAACAACTAATATTACATAATTAACCAATGTGAGGATGGATATAAAAATAGATGACAATGGGAAGGGGTATGATATAGAATAGAAGGGAAAAATTGAATTTGATTAAGATTAGAGATGAGGGGGACTTCCGGGTTGCTGTTTGTCGCTGCCAGACGTTCCTTTGGGATCGTCAGCTTCCATCGCCTGTTAGAGCCGCCTTCACAACGGAATGGCGGCTCGAAAAAACTCCGTTTCCATGAGGAAACGGAGATAGAGCCGACAGGGGGGGGTAGAACTCTCTGCGGAGTCCCAAAAGTTTTTTTTTTACTTTTGGGACGGAGCGGATGAGATGCCCCGTATCCCCAGCCGCCGCTCCGGGCTTTGGGAGACCTCTGCTGATTCAGAGCCAGGCGTCAAAAGCAAGCCTGCAAATTTAACAGACTACTCAAAGAAAATGTGAGCTGGACCTGTAATATTGAACCGCAAGTATTTTACTGATTTTTTAAAAAGAAATTACTTAAGAGAGAGGAGGAAAAGAAAGAGGAAAAAAAAAAGCCTTTTAAAATGGCGTTGGCTGGAGGAGAGGCTGAAAGGGAAAGTCCTTCCGTTTTCTATTACTACAATGTAGCGGAATAAATACCACTGGCTACATTTGTAGACAAAACTTCGCTCCTGTGTCTTTTTCTCTTTTTTTCCCCTTGGAGACCTGATATTGTTGTTTATTGGAAAGAAATCCTTTTTGTTTTTTTTCTTTCTTGCTTTTTTTTTAACAAAGCCTGCCTGGGCGGAAACATGGCACTGAGACTCATAAAGTCAGATAAACAAGAAGGGGGGGATCCCCCCACCAACAATTTAAAGGAACAAGTCTTAATTCTTCAGTCTCAGAAACCTGATTTTAATATAATAGAATTTTTTATAGAGGAGATTGAAAGAAGGGAGGAGATTGTGAATCAGCAATTTGAAAAATTTAAGCAGGAAATTAAAGAATTGGTGAAATCTAAGTTTGATTTTTTGGAGAAAAAATTCTCAAAAGTGGTTAATGGTTTTACAGGATTTATGATACAGTTGGACACAAATACTAATGTACTAGAGTCTAAAATGGAAGAAATTCAAGATAAATTGGACAATAGAATTCAAAAAATTGAAAATGATTTGACAAACACTCAGGATAATAGCTTAGAAGAAAAACCTAAAATGGAGGCTGATCAAAAGTATGATAATGCAGAAAATCTGCAACAGAAGATTGAAAAAGAGATTTTAATGGTACAATATAATTTCACAGAATATGCGATAAGATTAAGAGGTTTGCAGGAAAATAATAGAGATGATTTAAGGAAAATATCTTCTGAATTTCTAGCTGGGATTCTAAAGGTTCAACCTGACGAAGTGTTTTGTAGGATCGACAGAGCTTATCGAATCAACTCCTGGATTGCTAAGCAAAGGCAATTGCCTAGAGATGTGGTGATTTATTTTACAGATAAGGAAATTAGGAATAATATCGTTCAAAATTCCTTCAATTCTAATTTGCAATTGTATGGAAGAAAGATTTGGATTTACAAGGAACTCCCACCTAAGATATTGATGGAAAGGAAGAAATTTGGTTTTCTGGTGAATGAGTTAAAAAAGAGAAATATCTCCTACAGGTGGGACGCCCCAGTTGGTATTATATTTAGATACCAAGGAGAAAGATATCAGCTAAATACTGTTGAAAGAGCGGAAGAATTTTATCAAAATAGGTTGAAAATGAACTTAACATCTCCAGGTATAATACAGGATAAGCAGAAGGAGCCGGAAATAAAGGTAAAATATCGAATTACAGAGACTGTACCAGATGAATTGCCTTTGGATTTATTGGATACCCCAGCTGGACTATCTACAAATTTGAGAGAAGAGGCATCTAATTTTAATGTGATGACTTATCAAGGCAAGGATAAACATGGAAACCAATTAGGGGATATACAAGGGATAAAAAAGAAATATGAGATACAAAAGCAAAACCAACAAGACCAATCTACAAAGCAGAATAAAAACCGACCAGATGATACATATTTTGTAGAAAGGGAACCAGGATGGAAACCAAACCCACAAAAAGAAAAGAAAAAAAGAAATAGGTGGCATAGAAATAGAAATTTCTAAATCAGGCAACAGTGAAGCCAGTGATTTTAAAATATGAACGATTATGTGTAAATACAGAAGAGGCGATGTATTGGTTAATATCATCCTGAGGTTTGTGGCAGATCTCTGCATGGCCGTAATCTGGGGACGTGAAACGAGCCTTAAACTGATGATTTGGATTTGAATTATCCATTTTGGAATTTCTTTTTGTGTTGATAAACATATTATATTATCTTGAATCACAAGGCAAGAGAATTATGCTGGGGCATGCAGAAGATCGGGTTGTTACCCACTACGATGATGGGAATTAATAATCCTGATGAAACCCACAATTATTACTATATGGAATATAATTATAATGTCACTCGGGTGGTTGTTTTTACTTTTATACATATAAGAAGATATTTACTACTGATGGGGGCAGATATGATTGAAGATCCTGAATAAACTGTTGCACCAGTAAGCTATGTTACCCGATTATGGATGTTGGTTCTACCAATCCAGTGGAAAGACCTCAAAGAAGATACTATATGGATTATAAATTTAAAGTCATTGTCTTTTCTTTTTTTTTATTTAGATATAATGGAAAATATAGACATATATTTTTAAGTAGTGTGGGCAGTGAATCAAAGATGTTAAGAAATGTTGTGTATGGCAATTTTGCATGATAGTGGGTGAATAAGCTAGTTAGTAGATTAGTCTAAGAAAAGGGATTTTTAAGTGTTATACTTAGGGGAGTGGAGGAAATGGATAGAGTGGAATAAATGTTAAACTAGATTTTATGGGGAAGGCCGCTTTGAAATGTTATAGTAATATATATAGAAGATTAAATGTTAAAGTAGGACTTATCGTATAGTTTTAAAGTGGAGAAGTTATTCTATAATGTCATAGTATAATGTCTTTTTTTTTTCCTTTCTTTTCTCTTTTTTGATATGTATGGATAAAGGGGGATGTTATAATATTAATAATATTTTTAGTAAGTAAAGGTCAATATCTAGAGGGAGGGTAAGTAATCTTATGAATTAGGTTTTTTTTGTTATGAAGAAGTCACAGGGGGGATGGGTGGGGAGGGGGGGTTAGGGAGGGGGAGGGAGAGGGGAAAAAAAGGGGGGGAGAATTTGTATTTGAAAACTTTTTCAATAAAAAAAAAAGATTAGAGATGAGGATGACGGGTAATATTGGTTTTTTACAAAAATAGATGAGGAATAAATATGGCAAAAAGGAAATATAGAAATTGTAAATTTAATTGAAATGACTAAACACTGTTTAAATTTGTGAACCGCCAAATACTCTGTTCAAAGAAAATACATTGAATGTTTGTATGTGTGTTTCTAATTATTGTTATTTATTCATATTTGTTCCCTTTTATTCTTTAAAGTTTAACAATTCATTCTTTATCTTAATATCTTTATATTTGTTTGGGGTTGGCTTTCTTCCCTTTCATCTTTTTTATTGTACAGCAATCTTTCTCCTCAAACCTACCACCTCTCTCTTTTCTTTCCTTCTTACTTTCTCTTTCTCCCCCTCTTCTTCTCCTCCCTACTTCCTCTTCCTTTCTCCTTCTCCTCCTCTCTTCCTCCCTCTCTTACCCTCACTCCTACTCTAATTTCCCTTCCCTTCCTTCATCCCTCTCTATTGCTGTATCCTTTTATGCATATGGACTACTCAGAGGGCTGAAAAAGCTATTTCTGACTGGTCCTCCACTTTTGACCAGTCCTCGAACTTACGACTGTCCTCACATTTTACGTTTTTGCCCTATCTTGTCACCATGGTGAAGAGAAGCAGTTGTGAAATGAGTGACATGGTTGTTAAGAAAGCTGCACGGGCATAAATGTGAGGATGGTCATAAGTGTGAGGACCGGTCAAAAGTGCGAGGCCCAGTCAGAAATGACTTTTTTCAGCCCTCTGAGTAGTCCCTATGCACATAGCCACGCCCACCTGGTCACATGATGAGCTAGCCACGCCTACACAGTCACGTGACCAGCTAGCCACGCCCACCCATTCACATGATTGCCAAGCCACACCCCCAACTAAGCCACGCCCACAGAACCTGTTGTTAAAAAAATTGAATCCCACCACTGGTGAAAGGGCCTCATAAGTGGAATAGCCTAGGGCCTCTTTTCATCTAAATCCGGCCCTGGATATAGATTTCCTGTTTTTAAAGCAACAATAACCACGAGTGGAATTAAGGGTACCATATGATTTAAAATTTACTTTAAATGATCATCCTTGTCATTGTAATGTTTATCTATTTTTTCTAAAGGCAAAAGCAGTTTTGGCAAAAGTGGGTTATCCCGGATTTATAATGAATGATACATATATTATAGAAGGAATCAAAACAGTAAGTTTTGTTTTATTATTTTCAATTATTACTTGTTGTGGTTATTATTATAATATAAATGACAAATGCATGTATGTTCATATGCTCATTCAACATGTAGAATGTTCAAGATTTAACCAGAGTATTACAAAGAGTATTACAAATATAAATTACACAAGTCTAGGGCTAAATCCAATCATCTTCCCATTATAGAACCTCCTCTCCCTTATGCAGCCTATCTTCCTTATCTCATTCTTGTCTCAGCCCTGCTTCAAATTTGATAATAAGCTTTTTGGCAGTATAATAAGGATGTAGTGAAATGGGTGGTGGCTCTCTCCTTTCTTAGGCACTTTAAGGAATGACTAGAGAAATTATAAAGCCCATCTGTCCGGTGAGGCCTTGTTGATACAATTCTATTATTTTTGAAAGAAGTTCATGACTTTGGGATTTGATTTAAAATAAAATAACTATTTTGCTACATTCATATTTGGTGCACCCTGGAAATAAATAAATCTTTATCTTCTCATAGGCCAGAATTAGATAGATGGGAGAGCGAGAGAGAGAGAGAGAGAGAGAGAGAGAGAGAGAGAGAGAGAGAGGGATTGTGTTATAAATCAAACCAAATGTAATAATTTCAGGATATATTAATACTATGCATACAATTAATTCCCACTAGAAGTAAAGGAGTAATAACTTCTAAGAGCTTCATTTATGCATGTTACTTTGTATATTTCTTGAGTTCCACTTAATTGCCTACATTATTTACATGGCATCTTTTGTTAAGCATCATCACCTCTCAGGAGAACCAAATATTTTTAATTGAAACAAACTGATGAATAAGTATCTTAAGATGTATTTCATCTTCAAAGAGAAGCCTGCCTGCCTCTCTATACCATGTTTTAAATTGTAGGCCTTCAACTCTTAGGTTTTCTAATCAATGGACTTTTCAACCATATTTTTTTCCTAGCCTTGAGAGTCAGGGAGGCATGCTCAGTTAAAGAATGTTCCATCCGGTTTGAGTATCACCGGCTTTTACCTCTTATCCTAAGCCTTTTTTTACTTTACTGAAGGGGAGATTTTTCGAGCCAAAAATAGCCTGAAACTAGCCTGGAAACAGGCCTGAAAAATGGCCTGAAAATGGCCCAAAAAGGGCCTGAAAAAGGCCCAAAAAATGGCCTGGGTTTTTTGGCCATTTTTAGGCCATTTTCAGGCCATTTTTTGGGCTGGTTTTGGCCCCAAAATGGCCTGAAACCGGCCCAAAAAGTGGCCTGTTTTTTGGCCATTTTGGCCTGTTTTGGGGGCCATTTTCAGGCTGTTTTCCAGTGTTCCGGCACCTGCAAAGACCAGCTGGTTGGCAACATGCATGCCATAGGTTCACCATCATGGGTATATACCAGTGGTGGGTTGCTCCCAGTTCTGTCTGGTTCTTTAGAATTGGTAGTAAAAGCAGCAGGAGGCTCCACCCACCCGCCTGGATGTCATAATTGATGATCTGCGCATGCACAGAAGCACACGCACGAGCAAAGCAAGTGCACGCTCCCATTGCGAACCAGTAGTAAAGGTAAGTAGAACCCACCTCTGGTATACACCTATGGCCATGTCATTCTTTTTTTCTTTTATGTAAACCCATATGCATTCTAGGAGGTTTTCATCTTTGGTTTCATGCATTATAGTAGTCCTTTACATACAGTGCAACTCCACCTCCTCCTTTATGGGGTCTGGGTTTTTTTGAACAATTTGTATCCTTCTATCAATATTGCTTATTCTAAAATCATATGTTGTAAGCTGAATGAATCTTAATCTTCCTGTTACAAATAGTCACAAACAAAAAAAATATGCATACACTCAACTCTTCCAATCAGTGTTCCCTTACCAGGAATGATGAACCTTGATGCTGATATGCCCATCAATAACTCATTCAAAATACGTCACAAAGGTTCATTATGTTGGAATGATTGTGATTGTTTTAAAAATGAGAGGCATTGAATATACAAAAGACAAACATTGTTCCTCTTTCTGATGAACAGAATATATTGACCAAAGTTAGACTGGAAGGTTCTGTTTTTCCACCTAGGAAACTGTCAGCATTTTACAAAAGGTAGCATAGATATATTCTAACAATATAAGTTAGTAGAAAGGGTTAATATTGATATACTTAATAAAAGAGCAAAGGATTACCTTTTCAGCCAGATAGAAAATAGCCTATTATACATAACTGATAACATCTTTGTAAGGCTAAAACCCATGCCTAGTAGTCAGTTGGTGACTAGTAGATTAGAAGCAATGTCTTCTAAGAATTGATTCCAGCACCACCAGGTCATGGTGAGGAAATGTACCTTGATCATGAGGAGAAGAAACACATAGAGACATAAACTTGAATAATTTAAATCTGTTAAACCTGCGGTTTGTCAATCATAAGGGCAAAGTTTTAAAAATGGACAAATTAAATATACCTGAAGAGAAACAGATAAAGTAGAAGTAAACCTTTAAATGCTTATAAATTTTTATAGAACGAAAGATAGAAAACCAGGTGTTACAAATAGCATGTACATATAAAGAAGAATCAAGTCACCTAGCAGAGAAGATTGATATTAAGCCAAATACATCTGTTTGAGCTTCATTGAGTCACCAGATTTTGTAGGATTATCAAGCTATTAGGTTGTTAATGTTCTGTAAGGAAAAGCCAAAATTCACGCAAACAACATCACTAAGTAGAACACAATTCAGCCATCTAAGATTAGAAACTTCTAACACCCTGATGTAAACAGTACTAAGCTAACTGTTTGCATTGTTGCTGACAATTTTTTTCACAAGAACTGGTGAAGATGCATAGAAGTCAAAGCTGGGATAAATAATGGAAAGAGAAAAAAAAGAAAAAAGAAAGAGAGAGAAAGAATAACTTTTAATTGGCATCAAAGTGGAGCTTTAAATTCATAATTTCCAAGGAGTTGCTCCTTGAAATAAAGTCTGCACTGAAATGTTCATTTGGGTTTAACTGTTTTAAATATTTTCATATTTCTATTTCTTATGTGCTTAATAATGTTTTTCAATGAAATATGTATGTTCATATGTAATTCAGAATAATGTAAATTACTTGGGAATCATTTTGCATAAACATCTTTGCTAGATGTCTTTTAGTTTAACATCTACCGTAGGCTTTTATAGGTCAATTCAATAAATAGGTTTTGTAAATATGAAAAGACAACTGATTGCAGATGATACTAAACTGGCAGGTGTAGCCAACACCCCAGAAGACAAACTCAAGATCCAAAAAGATCTTGACAAACTTGAACAATGGGCCCTATCCAACAAAATGAATTTTATTGTGGAGAAAAGCAAAGCTTTACATTTAGGCAGGAAAAGTCAAAGGTATAAGTACAGTATAGGCAAAACCTGGCATAAAAACAGTAACTGTGGGAATCCTAGTGGATGATCATTTGTATATGAGCCATCAATGTGCAGCAGCAGCCAAAAAAGCTAATACAATCCTGAGTTGTACAAATAGAGGCATAGAATCAAGATCACATGAAGTATTAGTGCTGCTTTACAAAACCCTAGTAAGACCACACCTAGAATACTGCAACCAATTTTAATCACCATATTACAAAAAAGATGTTGAAACTTTGGAAAAAGTTCAGAGAAGAGCAACAAAGATGATCAAAGGCCTGGAGACTAAACCATATGAAGAATGGTTGCAGATTTGGGGTCTGGCTACTCTAAAGAAAAGAAGAATTAGGGTTGACATGATAGCAGTATTTCAGTATTTGAGGGGCTGCCACAAAGAAGAGGGGGTCAAATTATTCTCCAAAGCATCAGTGGGCAGGGCAAGAAATAATGGTTGGATACTGATCAAAGAGAGAAGCAACCTGGGATTCTGGAGAAACTTCCTAACAGTAAGGGCAATTAACCAGTGGAACAGCTTGCCTTCAGAAATCATGGGCACTCTATCACTGGAGGTTTCTAAGAAGAGACTGGACAGTCACTTGTCTGAGATTGTATAGGTTCTCCTGCTTGAGCAGAAAGCTGGACTAGAAGATCTCCAGGGTCCCTTCCAGCTCTATTATTCTATTCTGTTCTATTATATTTTCAACTGCCCTTGATTTAAAGCAGGTTTTTTTGGCAATTCTGAAAATTGTACCAAACTATTGATACTATTAACTGCAGGTCTGAGTTAGAAACTGTGACCTTATTGTATTTCTAATTTTTTTTTTAAGTTGCCAGAAGTCATGTTTTGAAGTCATTTTCTCAATGTGAAAAAATATTTAGGAGCTTCGCAGTGTTACCAGTCCAGAATGGAGTTCTCCATTCCTGTGCTGGCTTCTCCCTGTTTGTGGGCTCTAAAAGGAGCCAAAAACACCTTGTAGGGGTGGCAAAGCTAAGGAGGTGCACTCTGAGAGTTCGCAGGAGAGATCGCAACTCTCCTGCTGAGCCCCAGGGCTTTTTTCCCTCCATGCCAAGATGAGGCGAAGAGGCAGTCTAAGATGGCTGCCACGAAGCTGGGACAGCTGATGACCATCTAAGCACAGTGCAGGAGCGGACTTTGGTGAACAGTGTGTGAACTGGGTGAGAATTCTTTTTATTCAAATATTAACCCCAAAAGAATATCCAGGAAAAGAGAGGCTCACAACTATTTTTAAAAGTAGCAGCGACCTAGCACTTTGAGAAAACTTTAAGCTTGAAATTGAAGGAATAAGAATTAAAGGGGAAAAGGCAGAAAAATCATTAAAATACAGAAAATTGGATTTTCAAATTGGATAGGCACTGCTTTGGATAGGCATTTTGAAATGCTGGAATTATCTACTTAAAAAAACAATGCTATTTTTACATTGTGGGAAAATGGAAAAACTGGTTAATATTAAAATCCAATCTAAGAGTGCCACCTGCTGACAAAAAGAAGAATAACATACTCCCAAAATCTTGGAAATATTTGATTACTGGGGATTTAAATGTGATAACAAGAAAGACATTATCATTAAAATGGCCCCTGAAGATTACAATACAAGACTGAATTTATAGAGGGACCTAAGGAAGTTCTGGAAAACTTATGGGACTACTCAGAGGAACAGGTTGATCAACTTTGGGATACAAAGAACTAAGAATATTGAATTTTTTGAGAAGTGACTATAGGTTTGAATATATGGTCTTTGGATTATTAGCAAGATGTTTCATCAAGGAAAGAGAGGAGAATTTGAATGACGGTATTACTAAGTACACTTAAATAATATGTCGACTGGCATAAAAATAATATATTGAATTATTGATTAAATAAATAATGAAAGATTATAATTCAATATATATAATTCAATATATATAGGTCTTAGTTACCACCTTTAGAGCGCTCCATGGCTTAGGACCGGGGTGCTTACGAGACCGCCTTCTGCCACCAATAGCCTCTCACCGCCCAGTATGCTCCCATAGAGAGGGGCTTCTCAGGGTGCCGTCAGCCAAACAATGTCGACTGGCGGCCCCCAGGGGGAGAGCCTTTTCTGTGAGGGCACCCACCATCTGGAACGAGCTCCCCCCAGAGATACAGAAGATTCTGGATCTGCGCACTTTCCGCCGTGCCCTCAAAACATTCCTGTTTCAGCAGGCCGGCCTGGCCTAACTTTCCCTTTATATTGCTTTTTGATTTTATTTTAAACTGGGATGTCTTGAATTATCTAGGACCAGAGTGTTTAGTATATTTTAATTGGTTTTTTATTAACATTTGTATTAAATGTATTTTTATCGTTCGCTGTTCACCGCCCTGAGTCCCTTAGGAATAGGGCAGTATATAAATTTAATAAATAAATAAATATGAATAAGTCTATGTTTGCTAATTATGATGAAATATTTTATTTGTATTAAAATGTGTGACATGCAGAATATGGTAATTGACATAAAAATAACATATTTGAAATATTGAATAACTAAATAATGAAGGATTATAAATTGAACAAGCAAATAATGGAAGATTTTAATTTAACATAAATGTTTATATTATTACAATTATATAAGTTTGCTAAATATAATAAATAAGATTAATAATATTCTATTTGTATTAAAAGGTATGACTTAGAATAGGGTGATTGGCATAAAAATGACAAATTGAAATATTGAATAACTAAATAATGAAAGATTATAATATAATAAAATATGTTTATTATTATTAGAATTATATAAACTTGTTAAATGAAATAAATATGATTAATAGTATTTTATTTTTATAAAATAAAATAGTATGAAACTTGGGTGCCACACTGTTCACCCATTGATATGTTTGTAAAAAATAAGCAAAAAAAAATTATTAGCTCTTAAAGGTCATAAACTGAAAATAAACACATTAAAATGTAATGTGTTTTAATGTAACGTTTTAATGTAAACATTAAAAATTTTAAGAGAAGATCAATTTTAAGTTTGCAACTTATTAGTTGGTCCAAATATTTAATGTTTAAAAATATGATTAGTTTTCTTTCAGATGTCAAGATTATTAACTCTTTCCTAAAATATGATCCAAGGAAGAGATTTTAAAGTATACTTGTTCTCACACATTTTTATACTATTCACCATCAAAATGCATTCCATAAATAGTAATCAAAATACCAAGCTCTAGAAGCAATAGTGGAATGTTAAGTTTTCCAATGTGCCATGTGTTGGGCAAAACCATTTTGTTGTCTATGGAATTTCCTAGTAAATGCTCATATGGCAATATTCACTCATTTTCTAATGCAGAAAGACAATTCTACTCATTTTAAAATAAATAAGAGATTATCTTCAAGGGTGGGATTCAGCTGGTTCGGACCGGTTTGGGTGAACGGGATGTTAATTTTAATCTGGTTCACCGAACTGGCTGTTCCAAGGACTGGCTGACCCTGCCCACCCCGCCCCACTCCTCCGAGTCTCTACGCGGCCCATTTTGGATGCCAGGTAAATGCAGGACATGCGTGGAGGCTCTGGGAGGATGAAAAACGGGCCTATCGGAAGTCCAGAAATGGCCCTGTTTCTGGCCTCTGGAGGGCCTCCGGTGTCTGGGGGAGGCCATTTTTGCCTTCCTGGAGGCTCCAGGAAAGCCTCTGGAGCCTGGGAAGGGCAAAAAACAGGCCTACCAGAAGTACCAGAAATCCAGAAACGAGCCCATTTCCAGCCTCTGGAGGGCCCCCGGTGCCCGGGGTAGGCTGTTTTCACACTCCTGGAGGCTTGAGGAAAGCCTCTGGAGCCTGGGGAGGGTAAAAATGCCCCCCCTGCCATGCTGCAGGAGGCTGAATAGGCCACGGCCCAATGGCCACACCCACCCAGCAACCGGGCAGCGAAATGGTTGCTGAAATTTTTTAATCCCACCCCTGATTATCTTGCAATTATGTATTTATAGATTTAATGGAAAATGTGTGGTGTTAAAACACCATTTTCTTTTCAACAGAATTGCATTGCATTCCAATTTGTATACAATATAGAAAAGTACCAAAGTTATTGGACACATAACCTACATATGTTGATGTTAACGTTCATAGGGGAAAATTCAGTTTGAAAAACTCTATTATTGTAGGAGAACGATTGGCAGAGCTTATGGTGGAGTCAATGACAAATCAGCCTAGAGTCTCTATGAATCTTTGACTAAATCCAACCCTTCTTGAATTCCATTGACATTTACCTAATGACAAGATAGTGCTAGCCATTAGTTGAGTAGATTCCTGTACATATTAGTAATAAATCAGTTTAATTGTAACTTCACGTGTGATCTTGATTTTTCACACTTGACAATTATACACTATTACACTGGTACATAGATAGGCAACCAATGGCATAAGATAGTTGTTTCAAATATCTAGAGTAGTTTTCAACTTTACATGTCAATTATGCTACCACAGCAGTTCAGAAAAGAATGGCAGCCCTTCTTTTTAGGAATCAGGGTGGACATATACCTGTAGCCAACAAATTATTTGTTTCAAAATTGGTAGCACAGTTCTTTATGGTGTGTGCAATTCCAGCGTAAAATTTTTAATCATATGAAAGAATACAATCATTCTTTCTGAGAGCCATAGTATACCTAGAAGTACATCCAATGTTGTACTTAGTCTAGACACTGGTTGATTAGCATTGAAACAAGTGTTAGGAACTAATCATATCTTTCTGGGTCAGAATCTATTCATTTTTCATGGGACATTTGTCCCTCTTAGTATATGATTGTACAACAAGGTGATATATAGCAATATCTTCAAACTACTTCACATGGCATGTTCTTTAACTATATATAAAATGGAACTTTTTGAAGAAATATTATGATATATTGAATTTCAGCATAATTTAACAACAGTCCTTTGGTGATATTTTCGCCTCAGTGAATCAAGGGAACCACAACATTTACATTTTTAAGGTATCCTATATCTTTAACAATGGACCTTTTTCAAAACACATTTTAATGCCTTTCCTTCTGCAGTTATGAATAGTAGATATAAAGGAATCTCTGAAGCACATAATCAATGCTCTTATGCTTCTAGGGCAATTTCAAAACATTAGAAGGTAGATTTGTAAGATGTAAATTTATGTGGAAGTGCACTCTTAATTAATTTGCTGGAAAATAATTTTAATGGAAAGACTACATAGCAAACCCAATCAATGAGAGAGGTCTTTAATTGTTCTATATATTGGTTTCAATTAATTATATCTGATCCAAAATTGTTATTAGAAGTATAATTTGCATTAAACTGTTATAATGCTATTATATTTTTGGATTGTACCTGACTTGGTTTTGGATCACAATGAAGAAAAGAAGGAGGAGGAGGCATTTTTTTCAGAATATTTAAATTCTGATATTTTACTTGTTTAGTATATTAAGGTTGTTAATCTCTGTTTAAATCTAATTATATTAGCATAATCTTTATATTTATTTTCAGATGAAGTTTTCAGAAATAGACTATTTTGGCAATGTCCTTCAGACTCGCAAACATGTGGCCCAATCAGATTTCTACTGGCTGAGAAAAGAAGTTTCCAAAACAGAGTGAGTTGGGAAGGGATGTGTTGGGGAAGTATTGAGATGAAATATTATCAGACAATTAATATACAAGAAATATAATTTAAGACAAAATTTAGTTTTCATCCCCAATCTATTGTACTGAAACTGATAACATTTTAAAATACTTGGTTTGCCTGGTTTAGAACTAAATAGGTTTTTGGAATGATAACTATACTACAGGTGAGTTTCTGCTGGCAATTATGGCTGTTTGGAATGGTGCTGCTGGAATTTCCATCTAATAAAATTTTTATAAATGATGGTTATCCATGAAAATGAGCAGAGTTATTATGAACTTAGGGTCAATAGAGTAATGGAATTGAATCTTCATGTTAAAATGGATGAAAGTAAACTTCTCCTTTTATTTTAAAAGGAGATATTTGCCAGATCAAATCAAGAAGAAATAACACTCCTTCCTCTTTCCCCTTCTAGCTTGACAAAGGGAAGAGGGGCTCCACAATCACATAGATCTTAAAGTTGTTCCACAACCTACATCCTTTTCCTCTTTTAAGTCCTGCTACTACATTTCAGTGTGCAGCAGAATGTGTAAGGAAGATAATGAAACAGTTGATTCTTCCATCTATCGGTTGTGTATCTCTCTGGGTGTAAAAGACAGGGGACAAGGCCACTATGTTGCTGAAATCTGTGTTTGTAATACAATACAAAAGCCACAGCAACACCTATCATAGCCCTTTACTTTATTGTTTTGCATGTGTGTATGTTGTAAACTAAGAGAAAAACCTGAAGGCGTTGTTCTGAGATTCTTCTAGATCAGGGGTGTCAAACTCGAGGCCTGCAGGCTGGATCTGGCCTGTGGGATGCTCAGATCTGCCCTGCAGAGCTGCCCTGGAAACAGCAAAGGACCGGCCCTCTGTGCCTCTGCCAGTGAAAACGGAGCTTGGGAGGGCTCTGTTTTCGCTGGCAGAGGGTTGCAGGAGGCCGTCACAGCTGTGAACGGAGCTCGGGAGACTGTTTTCTCTGGCAGGGCACTCAGGCTGCCACAGGCACCTCTGACATGAGTGACATTGAGCTGGCCATGTCCACCCTGGCAACGCCCACCCGGTCCCCCCAAGGTCAAACAGAATCCTGATGCAGCCCTCAATGAAACTGAGTTTGACACTCCTGTTCTAGATTATTTGCTATCATATCTATAACAAATTATATGTGAGGTCCGTGTATCTGCCATTCTTCATAGAAGAAGGGGGCGGGATTTGGAGTGTCACATTTAGTTCTTTTCCTATGTATCCTAAGTATCCAATTTCTTGCCTGATCCTCTTTGTATAAACTTTATCCTGATTTATAACCATTGCCTGGTGCCACGAATCCCTGAAGAAATCTCACACTTCGGAAAAAGGGGAGAACAAGTATATTGTAAAATGATCCTGAGAAACTCTTCATATCTGTTTCTCAGAGAGGCTGATACAATTCGTATTCAAACCTGCAGATTGGTTGGAATCCATATCGGAAGGTGAGCAGGGGTTCCTAATTTCCTTTATTCTGAACCGCATGCCCTGAGGGACCCCAGAGCCTGCTTTGAGTTTTGACTTGCTTTCATCCCTTTCAATAAAAGATTCCTTTTGAAATACAAAGTTCTCAAGAGTTCGTACTTTCTTAGAAGGTGTTGTGACTCTGGCCCCGGAGGCTGATTTATCTTCGCATGCTGAGTTGGAGGATGATATGGAGGAAACTGGCACAAGCTATGTGCTGGAGGGGCCGTCTTCACTGGTGAGTCAGCAAGAACTGACAGTTGCTGATTTGCCTCTGGACCCCAGCCAAACTGAGGAGGAAACAGAGGTCGGTAACGAGGAGAGGGAGCCCCTATTGGATGCAAGATAGAGACGTAGGAGACGTCTTAGAGAACAGCTATTGCCACATCCCAAGAGGTGTGGTCAGGAGACGTAGGGCCACATCCTACAAAGTATAAAAGGGGTGTGGCTAGGCCGAAAAGGCGTGGTGAACAATTTGTTGGCGTTTTGGATGCAGTGGAGTTTAGAACTGCTAGTTTTGAGTTTTGAAAAGGAGTCTGCATTCCTGCATTAGCCTACTGGCTGTCTGCCAAGACCTCTGGAACATTGCCCGGTAATTACTGAACTGATATACCTTTGGAACATTGCCGGTAACTACTGAACTGATATACTTTTGAAAGAGAACTGTTTATTAAAGGGTCAGCTTCAATCTCTCTAGCCTGCGTTTGTTACTGCCGGGCTATTTGAGCTTCTGCAAGGCCACTCGTGGGAGGGGACAGAACAGAAGGAGGAGAGAAGCTGGTCCTTACATAAAGCAGGCTCTGCAACCCAGAGAGAATTTTTTTCCCCCTTAATTTCCATTCTACCAAGGGGACTCTGTAACTATGTCTGAATGAAGCAGTGAGCAAGGAGAAGCCGAGTGCTGGGGAGAAACCTCAACAACCATCCAGCCAGACACCGGCACCATATGTCCCATTGAGGACATCAAAGCTGTCCCATAAAGTCCAGTGGTCGATCGGTGTAGGAAAAAAAGACAGCTGGGATGGAAGAGCCAAGGGGGTGACCCTCACCCACTGCAGCCGTAAGCCTGGATGGAAAAGGGAGCTGGACGCCCTCTCCAATCAGGAACAGCTGACCGAGGAACCACTGGCGGATATCGACTGAAGCAGTACATCAACTGTATTGTGATGGAAGCCCTGGAAAATCTCAATGTTTGAGGTGTACAGAGTTGCCCACAAAGGAGAGTGGGCGGATCAGTAGCCAAGGAAACTCGAGCCATCATCCCTGACCCAACTGCAGTTGACTAAGCAAATGAGCAAGCCAGTGGAGCAGCAACCGTGCCAGGTACCAACCTCCCACAGTCCCAGCCCAGGCAATCATCCTCGGCCAACCCAGGGGCCCAAAGCTAAAGAGGAAAGCTCCTCCCTTAGAGGTAAAATTTGACGGAGACCCAAAAAGTTGGGATTTTTCATGGCTCAAGTCCTCACTTACATGCAAAAGTACAGGTGGAATTTCACAACCAAGGGGGCATGAGTGTGAGTCGTTACCCTAGCCCTAGAAGGGGCAGCGGACAGATGGATGGTGAGCCTCAACAATTCCAATGCTCCAGAGCTATGAAACTTCGATCAATTCATGACAGCCCTGCGCCACTGTTTCAAAGATCCCCTAGCCAACTGCAAAGCCCATGACCTCATCAGAGTCATTAAGCAAGGCCGCTGTCCTGTAGCTGAATATACCAAAGATTTCCGGGACCTGGCCAGCCGAGTCAACTGGCCAGAAGATATTCTAGTCTGCTGGTTCAAAGATGGACTCAATGACGACCTGTACACTGCCTGCCTGGCCCGTGGTGCCCCTAACTGCCTGCATGAATGGTACCTGATTGCAGAGGAGGCAGAGATTGGCATGACCCAAAACCAGTACCGCACCGGCAGGGCCTGGAGAAGATCCCTACCCCAGGGGAAGTGGGAGCCATTCAAACCTCAAACAGCCAGGGCACCGAGGCCATCAGGTTGTTTTAAATGTGGGAAGGAGGGGCATCACGCAGCAGAATGCTGGTCAGAAACCCCCTTTGGAAAGCCTGATTGCCTGTCAGGGGGGAAGCCTGCAAAACCCACCCCCTGAGGAAAAGAAACTGCACTGAGAAGCCGAGAGGCTGCCAAATTCTGTTCCCCTCCAAAATCAGAGGAAGGATCTCCGATGCCCCAAGAGGACCTGAGCCACTCTGAAAGCGATCCGGAAGACGACCCGCTGGTAAGCAACCCAATCGAACCACTCATCATACCACTAAGACTTTTTATCCCCAGCTGAGGGAAAGGGGAGGAAGTAGCAGCATTGCTAGACTCACAGTGCACCCGATGCCTAATTCCCGATGCCTCCCTGCAACCCTGGCAGGGAGATTGGGAAATCACCTAAGGAAAATGAAAACCCTCATCGCTTTTTGCCAGCTAGATGGAACTGTAGCGGGTGGGGGGGGGAGCCAGTCAATTTTGCCATGGAACCATTGCAAATTAAGCTGGGGAATCATAGCGAGACCCTCATGTTCATAGTAGCCCCAGGAATGGAATGGCCACTAGTCCTAGGACTAATGTGGCTGCAGAAGTGAAACCCAAAAATAAACTGGAAGAGAGGAACTGTAAAATTCCAGGGGCATGTAAGTTTCACGAATGTGAAAGAGGAAGGAAAGGAAAACAGGGAAACGGCAATGACCAGCCACCCTGCTGCATCCACTAGCATCCCCAAAGAATACCAGGATTTGGCTGAGGTATTTAGCGAGGAGGCGTCTGATGAACTTCCACCCCATTGTGTCATGGACTGTGCCATTGAGATCCTACCAGGGGCTAAATTTCCAAAACCAAAAATGTACTGCAAGTCCCCCAGAGAACTAGACGAACTCAGAGCATTTATCGACAAAAACCTACAAAGGGGCTTCAGCGAACCCACCTGACCAAAAATAGCAACCCCAGTGTTATTCCGTGAAAAGAAAGATGGCTCTCTACGCCTCTGTGTTGATTACCGTAATCTAAACAAGATCAGCGTAGAAAATATGTACCCACTCCCCCTCATGAAGGACATGCTGACTCACCTCTCTAAAGGAAAAATCTTTTCAAAGCTGGATTTATGACAGGCATACTACCACATCAGAATTAGGGAAGGGGATGAGTGGAAGACTGCTTTTAACACCCCGCTGGGGTGCTACCAATTTAAGGTACTCCCTTTCGGACTACAAGGGAGGGGCCCCTGCTGTGTTTATGCAATCAATTAACGAGATGCTCCATGAACATTTATACAAAGGGGTCCTGATTTATCTTGATAACATTCTTATTTACACCAAAACAAAAGCAGAACACATAAAACTAGTCCGAGCAGTTCTTACTAAACTCCAAGCTGCAAAACTCTATGCAAAACTCTTTAAATGAGACTTCCACCAAGAAAGGATTGACTACCTGGTGTATAGAATATCTCAAGAGGAGATAGAGATGGAGCCACTTAAAGTAAAAGCCATCATCGATTGGGAGCCACCCC